GCAAATTTCTATGTCGATACGATTTTTGGATACTTTCCGTGTGTTACTACTTCCATTCCAAATGGATGCATTATGTGCCCTATACACTGTCTTCTTGTTAAACAGCTTGCAATCACAACGGCTACGTTAGGTTCCTTGTAGTCTATCAGAATTATAGAATACTAGAGGAAACGTAGGTAGAAAATTATATTACGCACTCAGTAAGAATCATATCACCACTGAACAAGTACTCGTCGACTCCTTCTTTCTGATTCACTTCTTCGATCGTACCCTCATCCGCTGGGGTATTTCCTCTAGTCTTTGCCTTTAATGGAAAACAAATCGTATAAGGTCAAAGGTACTGAAATATGAGAAAATGAACTAACTTTCGAAGGTGTCGGTGTCTTTTCATGTTTAGCTTTTGGTCCCAAACTTCTCAGTCCAAGATTTTTAAGCCTTTCGTGGCGCTTATCGATATCGATACCTCCATAGGCCTAGAATATGCAGTCTACCAGTACGCGAAGATTGAGGAATCTCAGTATCCATTCAAGTATACATAAGTGTATGCCTAAGTACCGGTTCAGTGGTGATGGTCTTATTTCAACTATTAAAAACTCAGTTCGCGATGGTTCCGTAGTATTCTTAAGTTGAAAAGCAGAATCGTTGGTGGGAAACTAAAGCATTGGTAGCAAAAAACAGGAAAATTCGTAGAATCTGTAAAGTCTGTGGTTCAATAAAAGCGGTGAAAGAGATTAGAAATGGTGCGAATTGGATGTTTGGACGAGGTTTCGGCCATTATGAATGCATAAAGAGCTGGCTACAGTAAGCCAAAAATGCCTAGGAATTATCTTTCAATGGAGCCGAAAGGCATGAATATGTATTACTCGAATTTCCAACATGTGTGCTCCATTGCAAATGGTGTAACCTATATAAATCAGAGGAAATTCGGGGCCTCTGTCGTTGTCGAGGCCTATCTTTTCAACCTTATAGTGCCCTACCGAGGCCCCTTCTTGGCCCGACAGCACCCCTTATGGCGTACTTAGGGGCTCCAGACTTGTCCTAGCTGGCAACTTCGGAATCCTTATTATCGTGGCCTGTACCTTTAGGTGTTTACAGAACGAGAAAGCCTTCAGATGAAGAAAAGAGATAGAGCCGAGTAGAAAAAATGTGAAAGAAAAGAAGCAAGTAGGTTACAGGAAGGGTTCGTGTTCAGAGGCTGTTCTACCTATTTGAAAATGTGAAGGAAAGGCTAGTATCTGGTACGAGACCCAGTATAGTAAAAGGGGGCATTTCAGTCCGCCTTACCTTTGTCAGAGCGACCCTCCCTTTTTCAGAAAGGCAAAGGCTGCTGTCCAAGAGTACGGTAAGAAGGAAAAGTACACCAATCACCTTCCTGTGACCCATATCGAGCTCCTACTGCTGAAATGGTTAGGTTTATAAAAAAAGAGTGTTTGTAAGTTCAAAATAAGGGTGATGCTGCTTTAGAGAGTACAACTTGTTGTATGAACTCGAGTGTAGTGCACTTTTATATGCCAAAGACCATGTTTCAACAAAATCGGACTCTCTAATCCCCGTGAACTCTAGCCAGGGCGTGGACCCGATTAATATCGTTCGTGGGAGTACGAATATAATTAAGCACCAATTGTCGCCCACAGATTAGTCTTTTTTAACGAAGAGGACCGCCTACGCCACCCACAGAATTTAGCGCTTCGTAGACAGTGAATATGGTAGTCTGGGCTCAGGAAAAAGCGATTGCCAGACAACTTGTGCTGGTCGTGTCACCCACAATGGGATAGAATCAATTCTCAGTCGAAGCCTAAAGAATAAAGGATAATTTCATTTCTGGGATGTTCCCATCGAATTCCACTTCCATTTAGAATGTCAGTGGCGATTTGAGTGCGCAGGCAGCCCATGCAAGG